TCTTATGGCCCTGAAAAGTCATCTCTTGTGGATGTCTGGACTCCAAGGGAGCTTTATAAGACAATTGTCTATCTTCTCTGAAGTCTATCACATATAGGACTTCAACTACAAATGTACCAAACTAAAGTCTTTCCACCCTTTGTCTCAGCAAAATATCTTCACTTCATTTACCTATCAACAGACTCGGAGTTTTCCACTCCCTTATCTTAACAAAGCAGCTCCTCTACTGATTTCCCAAATCCTTAAATAAGAACTACAAAATGCAAGCCCCTGCTTGGAAATGTCCCTCCTTCCTGGGCCAAACCAGCAAACTATCACATGCATTGATGTTTGGTTTCTTCTAGCATCTGCCTTTCTAAAGTGTATATAGCTAAACCACCATCCTGAGGCTAGGTGTACCCAAGCTTAATTTTGCAAGTTTGACTTAAGAATAAACCATCCTAGACCTGGAGTGGTGGTTCAAGCCTGTAATCACAGCACTTTGGGAGGCCAAGGTGAGAGGACTGCCTGAGTCCAGGGGTTCGAGACCAGCCTGAGCAACTTGGTGAGACCTCGTTTCTACAATATATCAAAAAATTTGCTGGGCGTGGTAGCACATGCCTGTGGTACTGGCTACTTGGAAGGCTGAGGCAGAAGGATTGACCTGAGCCCAGCAGGTCAACGCTGGAGTGGCCATAAGCATGCCACTGCACTCCAACCTGGGTGACGGAATGAGACTCTGACTCAAAAAACTAAACAAAAAAGAATAAACCATCTTAAATATTTTACAGAGTTTTGGCATCTTTTCCTCAACAAAGATTTCTTTACACCATCCCATTTCTTTTCATATTTCTATTTCTGTTGTTCTGCCTTCAATCTTCTCTTTTTTGAAGTCTGAGTGGCAGCCAGACTTTTCTGTGTTTATCATTTCTTTAGAAAAAGGCATATTGTGACTTTCTCTTCTATTTGATAAATTTGTATTACGCAGCAATAGGCATCTTCAGCCAATTCTCTGCTTTTTCTTTTTTGAGTTGGAGTCTCACTCTGTCACCCAGACTGGAGTGCAGTGGCACACTCCCACCACCACAGCCTTGACCTGCTGGGCTCCGACGATCCTTCTGCCTCAGCCTTCCTAGTAGTAGCTGGAACTACAGGCACGCGGCTACCATGCTCGGCTAATTTTTGATTTATTGTAGAGATGAGATCTCGCCAAGTTGCCCAGGTGGGTCTTGAACCCTCAAGCTCAGGCAATCCACTCACCCCGGCCTCCCAAAGTGCTGGGATTACAGGCTGAGCCACCGAGCCTGGCCGTGACTTTCTCTTTTTTTTTTTGAGTTGGAGTCTCACTCTGTCGCCCAGACTGGAGTGCAGTGGCTGCTCCCGGCCACCGCAGCCTTGACCTGCTGGACTCTGGCTATCCTTCCGCCTCAGCCTTCCGAGTAGCCGGAATTACAGGCACATGCTACCATGCCCAGCTGATTTTTTGATTTATTGTAGAGATGAGGTCTTGCTGCCCAGACGGGTCTCGAACCTGCGGGCTCAGGCAATCCACTCACCTCAGCCTCCCAAGGCGCAGGATTACAGGCTGAACCACCGAGCCCGGTTAACTTTCTGACTTTTTTTTTTCCCTAAGCACATGTCACAGAATTACATCTGCATTGAATAAACATGTACTTTTTATTCTGAAAAAAAAAGAGACTCAAGATTTTCACTTAGTTTGTATCTAAAAACTATTTTAATGTCTTTTTTTAAATAAAAAATCCTATTTAATTTTATGTTTACATTTTCTTTTAAAGTAACTTGCTCGAAATTACTATGCAAGTGTTTTTAGAAATAATTTTGAAAAATTTTGAATTGGAGAAGGATCCCTCTAAGGCAGGGTTAAAAGTTTTTTAAAAGCCATCAATGTGTAAATTTCAAAGAATTTCAACTGAATGAATGCCCAATACTGAGAAATTTTAATCTTCACTGAGACAGAACATTTCCTTATTGATTAGGGTGATTTTCCAAACAGCCCCTGTTGGAGAACACTTTATGGTTTAGTCTATTAGCTTTAATTACAGGTCATCTGGTGAAAGATCAGAGAATGAAGACAGGCCCTAGGACCCAGAGGAAAAGAAAACAAGAAACTCCAACCCCAGAAACAGGCCAGATGGAAGTCTTGAATGCTGTGGTAAGGAAGAAAACATTAAGAGAGGAGGGGCCCAGGACCAGAGTCATAGATGCTCCAGCTCAGAGGCAGCCTCCTTTATTACATGGCCAGGCTGTGCTGTGAATTGTACAATATATTTGGTCATGCCCCTGTTTCCAGGCTAACAACTCCTAAAACCCTCGGAATCTCCAACATGATAGGTACCTTTTTATATGCTAATAAATGACCGGTAGCTGGAGGCTACTGGATGAGGATGGAGGTCTGCGTGGACCCCACCATCATGTCAGCAATCATGTGACTAACCCAACCATCTGCCTGCTGTCCATCACCTGACATCAGAACCTGTGCTTACCTGCCTCTTGGTGATGACACGGAGCAGACCACCACCCAATCACCTTAATGACTTTCCCCCATCAAAGGGAAGGATGAAAAGAACTCAACTACAAGCAACCAGTCACCATTGCCAGGCCATTGCGGCCATTGCCTTGCTAAGCTATGGTGTGACCATGTGCTCTCTGAGCTGTGGCCAGGCCATGCTTCCTTCCTTGGGCCCTCTCCCCTACTTGGGAGTGTAAATCTCTTTCTAATTTACTTTCTAAATAAGCTATATTTTCTAATTTAACTTCTGTGCAATTTTTTGCATCTTTCATGTGACACCAGATCATACACCAGACACCTACATCCCCAGAGGACCTGACCTAACATTCTGAAGGACCTGCTGGGAGTGTGAGACCTAACAATGTTTCTGAGTTCTGTGAACCATCCTAGCAAATTAACAGCATCTGAGGTGGAGGTCATGGAAACTCCAGCTTATAACTGATTGGACAGCGGTATAGATGACGACCTATAGCTTGTGATTGGTGTCTGAAGTGGGGTGGCAGTCTTGTGGGGCTGATTGCTCAACCTGAGGCTATCTCCAGGTAGACAGTGTCAGAGTTGAATAAAATTGGAGGACACCCAGCTGGTGTCTGCTGAAGAATCTGCCAGAGAATTGACTGCAGGTAGGGGGAAATCCCCACATACGTAGTGGTGACCAGAAGTCACTGAAGTGATTTGTGTTGTGAGAATACAGTAGAAAGAAACCGAGTTTGGTTTTTTCCTACATCAGGGGTCATCTCTGGACTTGCTGAATGGAGTCTGAATATGCTCTCTGGTTCTCACCTTACAACCTACCTCTCTGTCACTGGGTCTTAGGAACATCCAAGGAGGGAAAGGACTTGAGGGCAAGCTCTTCCACCCTCCAACAGCTGGAATGCAAGGTATGTGTGGAGCCTGCCTAGGAAGGTATGAAGACTCTGTCAAGAGCTCAGAGACCTCTAGGGTCTAACTCTGGAGGAGTTAAAGGCCCTTTGAAGAACTTTCATGAAAGCTTTGGCTCACCTCTCTAGAAAAACATCCATATACATATACAGAATTTAGGATACACTTTTACGGGATTCCCTGACTCCTTGTAACCTGTCTATGCAACTCCACTGGGATGAATGGATCTCAGATTGGCATGTTTTTCTGCTAATTCAGTCTCTCCCCAAGCAAGTGCTGGTCTCAGCCTTCAGCCACTCTCAACATGGCACATTCTCTTCCTGGGGATGTGGACTCATGTCATTGTCCCCTCTCCTCAAAAGTATCCACCAGTATTCACAAGTGTTCACTAGAGGGGCCAGGCCATTGAGACATTCAACTTGGGGTGTGGACCGATTCATACCCCCGCCCCCATGTCCCATTCAGTAGGCTCTGACTCAGCCTCCTACCTCCAGACACTTCCAATTTTTCCTGTTCTTTTCTCTAATCCTCCTACCTGTTCATCCGTTTTCCCACTGTCCGTCAGCCCTGTGCCTTCCCAGATCCTTTCCTCCCTCGACACTTATCCCATGCTCTGGGGAATCCATCATCCAGCCTAACTCCCTGTGGGGTGCTCCTGTCCATCACAACCACATGCAACCCACATTCCTAGGTCTGGGGCTCTAGCCCCAGGCTGCAACATCCTGATCCTAACAGCTTAGGGAAGGAAAAGGCCCAGGAAGGAGGGGAGAGCTCCAGAGATAACACACCCTCTAGGTCCTGTTCCGTGTGAAGGGCGGAAGGCAGAGTGGGGCAGGAGTTGGAGCGCTGGAAGTTTGACCAACGTCAATGCAGGAAGCATGAGGAACAGCAGCCGTAAGACTTTCAGTCACTGGAGCCGGGGCAGCCTGGGGTACCCATGGGCTGCAGGACTAGAACTGGCGAGGACAGGAGCTCACCTTTGCAAGTCACCATTGGGTAGTGGTGGCAGAGGACCTCAGAAGAGGGTTCCTTGGTGGGGAGGCTCACTTCCACTGTCAGAGGGTCTGCTCTACGCAGCAATCAGGGCTACAAAGTGGGGACAGAAGCATAGCCCCCTCCTGGGTAGTGGGGGAACAGGACCTAGAGGGTGTGCAAGCTTTCACGTCGAAAGTTAGACCCCCCTACAACAGGGAACCCCTGCAGCAACCAGTCCTAACCTTTCCTCAGGGGCAGGTCCCTCTGTCCCTAGCCTAGATTAGATGAGCAGGAGGCGACTTCCCAGCATCCAGATCTCTAGGTTGGGCACCTGAGGCTGGGACTGCCTGGGAAACGCAGTGTTCTAAGACGGCTGGGGTGAGGGTGCTGCCGGCGTCGCTTCCAGGCAGGGGTCAGGAGCGCCCACTCACCTCTAGGAACACAGTGCCGGCCTGCAGGGGTGGGCGTGACTCAGAGAGTAGCCGATTGGAGTTAAAGATCAAAGATGGGCCTGGCGGCGGGCAGAACCAGAGAACTGGAGGCGGCGCCGGGAGGAGGACCTCGGGAGTGCCGGCTCCCGCGGAGGGGCGGATCGTGGGGGGGAGGGGGAAGCCGCAAGGGCGAGGGTCGGTACCTTCCTTGGCGCGCACCCCCGGGGTCAGCGGGGCGCAGTGCAACCACAGCAGCCCGAGCCCCAGGGGCCAGCGCCGCTCAGCGACGCCAACCCCGAGGTGGTGGCGCGGCCTGAGTTACCGGTGCGGGCGGGGGGCGGAGTCCCGGCCTCACTTGGTTCACCTGCTTAAAGGGACAGTAGGGCACGAAGGAAAGAAACTTGTTAGGTAATAAGCTTCACACACCTGAGGAGTTTCTTTTGGTTTGTTTGTTATGCCTTTTGTTTTTGTTTTTTAAGATACAGTGTGCAATTCAGGGTTAGGTACACAAGGAGTCATCGCACAGGTTAAGTTTGAGCCTCTCGTTGGTTCTCACTTTGCCTGGTTTGAGATCAGGTACCCTTATTAGTGTTACGTTTCCCCGCCCACCCCCAGCAGTGTCCCGCTACTGCCAAGCCTTTTCATTCTGATAAATGTTCAGGGTCCACTTATGACTGAGAACATGTGGTACTCCGTTCTTTGTTTCTGTGATAGATCACTGAGTATGACTCTAAATCCACCCAAGTTGCTGCGAAGTTCATAATTTTGTCCTTATTTATAGCTGCGTAATATTCCATCATGTATATGTCCCACTTTTTTTTTTTTTTTTTAAATCCAATACACCAGAGGAGTCTTGTCCCGAATGAGACTGTGGGTCATTAAACTATTTTAGAAACATAACTCATATTGACTTCTGTCTTTTTTTTTTTTTTTTTTCACTTCAAATAATTGTAAAAACACATACTTGGAAGATTTTAAATAAAATTATTAATATTATTAGATCACTATTACTTCTGTTTAGGGAAGACAGCAGTCCTATATGTAATTGTAAGAGAAAATGAATTCTTGCTTCTAGGAGGCACCATTTACAAAAACCAAAGTAACAAAATTTGGCTATTTTTGCTTGTAGCCCTCTCTTTTGTGCCCATTCTCATTTTTCTTAAGATTTTTTTTCAAACTGTTGTACGCATCTAGTTTAATGAGCCAGATTTTTGTGTGTGAAAACTTAGGCTTTTGTTCCCTTTTTTTGCTTTTTCCTTCTTTTGTACTTTATTTGCCAGGTACAAGTGAGGATTTACTACATAGGTAGGCTGCATATAGGTGATGTTTGGGATTCCAGCTGACCTTCACAACCCCTGATAGTGGAACAGGTACACTTTGTGCTGTCACATGCTCCTCACTCTTCTCTCTCCCTTCCTCCCTAACAGTGCCCAGAGACTGCTGATCCCTGTTTGGTGCACATGTGACTAGTGTTCACGTCTTATGCGTGAGAGCATGTGGTATTCGGTTCTTTGTTTCTGTGATAGTTCACTTAGTATGATGATCTCCAACTGCATCCAAGTTGCTGCAAAGGCTATAATTTTGTTCTTCTTTATGGCTGTGTTATACTCCACCGTGTATATGTATCATAGTTTCTTTATCCAGTCCACATTCCATGGGCAGCAGGGTTGGTTCCCTGGCTTTACTATTATGAGTAGTGCAGCAAAAAATATGCATATGCAGGTGTCTTTTTGGTAGAACGATTTATGTTTATCTGGATATATTTCCAGGAGAAGGATTGCTGGATCATATGAAAGATCAATTTTTAGTTCTTTCAGAAACCACCACACTGCTTTCCATAGATGTCAGTGACCAGCACTGACCAAGGGTGGGTTAGGAACGCACTGGAGAATCTGGACGGAGAGAAGAGACCACTCGGAGGCAGTTCTTCTGGGAACAGTCTGATCAGGACTGAAGCCAAATTTTATTCGGACTCCTTCCAACTTATATACCATTTTCTATACCCTCCAGCAGTGTGATAATCACTTACTGGGCGCATACAAGTTCTGTGCTTTACAAACTATGCATCACAAGACCACCACGAGATCTGCAATTTCCAAGCAAACAATTCGAATTCCATGATGCCTGTCGTGCTTACATTAAGGTCACAGGTGCACGATTTCAATACAAATCGTTCAAAGGGTTTTCCATAATGTTCAATGAATCATTCATATTATACTCTTTGTTCTAAACCCTGATTAATACAAAAAACTTTTCTAAGTTAACTCTAGGTTCAATCCAAGTTCACTGACTCCCAATATTTTTAACGATTAATATTATCAACTTAACTCTATACTATAATCTATAAGTTTAGTTAAATGACTTAACTGTCAGTTATACTATTAACCTATTATGATTTAACGTAATGCCTTATAACTCAGTTAAAACTTATTCTTAAACTACAAAACTTTACTATAATTCATATGTTTCATATGTCTAAACTTTAATTTTTATATAATCTAATGATTGACCTTTAATACTATGCTATATCCTATTAAGCTAATACCTCATCATTAATTCTTTTATAAATCTTATAGTAACTATTTGAATAATGTAGCAAAAGGAAACAAAACAGTAAGCGTAAATTTACGCAACTATGAGTATATATGTATATATTTTATCCTAACAAGTCTACTCTAAAAATCAAATAGTAGCTGTCACACTCTTGAACAAGGAAATGCATGGCCGCCATGATGGTGGCTGTGGGCTGAAGCAGACAGAGTTTTGGTAATTAACGAAACAAAAGAAAACGTTCTGCCTGGCTAGGGGCAGGGCGACTAAACTACCATGGTAATTTAGTTTCTAATCTTAGCCCTAGGGGAAACAGCTTTCGGGAGCAAGAGCTGACTACCCAGTCTACCAGGAAATAGAAGTTAAAAAATATCTAGAAAGAAGTAAAACTTAGAAAGACAGAGAAAAATAATTCTGCTGTGCACTCTCCATCAGGCATATTGATATTTACTTATAAGTTTTACTGCCATGTATGCACACTGGTCACTAATCACACGCCAATATTATAGGTATAAGTGATATCCTATGTCAGAGGCGATCTTCCAGATGGGCCTTTACAGGCCTCAGCCATGTAGCTATAGATGTTGGCTCCCAACACATAGAGGCTGAATTAGCTTACAGTCCCACTGACAGTGCAGAAGCATTTCTTTTCTTCACAGCCATGCCAGCACTTGTTGCTTTTTGACTTACTGATAGCCATTCATACCAGAGTTCCGTGATATCTCATTGTAGTTTTGATTTGCAGTCCTCTGATGACTGGTGAGGCTGAGCATTTTTTCATGTGTCTGGTGACTGCTTGTATGTCATCTTTTGAAAAGTGTTTATGTCCTTTGCCCACTTTTTAATGGGGTTGATTGTTGTTTTCCTTTCACTTCATTTGAGTTCCTTGTAGATCCCCGGATGTTAGGTCTTTGTCAGATGCATAATTTGCAAAATTTTCCCCCCATTCCATGGATTGTCTCTTTTCTCTCTTGATGGCTTCTTTTGCTGTGCAAAAGCTTTTCAGCTTGATAATTTTCCATCTGTCTATTTGAGCTTGTGTACATTCGCTTTTGGGGACTTGGTCATGAATTCATTGCCTATTTCGATGTCCAGAAGGGTGTTTCCTATGTTTTCTTCTAAGATTCTTATAGTTTGAGGTTTTGCTTTTAGGACCTTGATACATTTTGTGCAAATTTTTGTATATGGTGATAGGCAGGGGTCCAGTTTTATTCTTCTGCATGTGGTTGACCAGTTTTTCCAGCACAATTTACTAAATACAGTCTCCTTTTTTCTATGATTGTTTTTGGTGGCTTGTCAAAGATGAGTTGGTTGAGAGACAATGTTTTTATTTTACTTTCAAAATCTCTGTTCTGTTTCATTTTCTTATGTGTCTATTCCTGGACCAACACCATGTTGTCTTGGTTACTGTAGTCTCACAATAAAATCTGAAGTCTGGAAGTGTGATATCTCTTACATTGTTCCTTTTGGTGAGGATTACTTTGGCTATTCTTGCTCTTATTTGTCTCTGTATTGCTGTTTCCAGGCCAGTGAAAAATGATGTTGGTACTTTGATGAGTGTTGCATTGAATCTGTAAATTACCTTGGATAGGATGGACATCTTGACAATATTGATTCTTCCAATCCATGAGTATGGATTATTTTTCCATTTATTTGTGTCATCCTTGATTTATTTGAGCAATGTTTTATAGTTCTTATTGTAAAGGCCTTTCATTTCTCTTAGGTGGATGCCAAGTTTTTGTGTATGGCTATTGTGAATGGGATTATGCTTTTTATTTTGTTCTTTGCCTGCTTGCTGCTAGTGTATAGAAATGTAATATGTCAGACACATGAAAAAATGTTCAGTCTCACTCATCATGAAAAAATTGCAAATCAGACTATAATGAGATACCACCTAACTCTCGTAAGGATGACCATCGTTAATAAGTAAAAAACCAGTAGGTGCTGGTGCCATTGTGGAGAAATGGGAAAACTTCTACACTGGTGGTGGGAATGTAAGCTAGTTCAGCCTCTGTAAAAAGCAGTATGGCTATTTCTCAAACTACTAAAAATTGATCTTCCATACCATCTAGCAACCCCTCTCTTGGGAATACAACTGGAAAGTATAAATTGATCTAGCAAAAGGTCACCTGCACATGCATGTTTATTGCCACACTATTCACAATACTGTAAACGTGGAACCAACCCTGTTGCCCATTGAAGGTGTACTGAATAATGAAAATGTGGTATGTATACATGATGGAATATTATGCAGCCATAAAGACAACCAAATCATGGGTTTTACAGCAACTTGGATGCAGTTGACGATGATAATACTAAATAAGATATAACGGAAACAAAGAACTAAAACTGCACATTCTCACCCATAAGTGGGCCCTGATTTCTAGTCATATTAGCATAAGGGTGGAATTGGCAGTCACTGGGCACTGCTAAGGGAGTGAGGTAGGGAGGAGGGTGAGGGGCACTGGACAACACAATGGGTACCTGGTTCACTACTTGGGTGAGTGAGGGCCAGCTAGAAGCCCAAACTTCACCTGCATGCAGGCTATTTAGTAGCAAATTCTCACTTGTACCCCACAATTCTAAAATAAATGAGAAAAATTGATAAATCCTGTCAAATCAAAAGTGTTTTCATGTGACTCTAAAATGAACCAATGCATTCATAAATGTGATAAGAAAACAAAAACAAAGTAATAAACAGACAAAAAAATTAAAAAACTTGACTAATGTAGAGGACTCAAGTGAAGGAAGTGCAGAGCTCTTGGCAGAATCTTACACTTGTAATCGAGCCTCCTGCTGTTATTTACTTGACATTAGCATCTTTTCACAGAGGACTCAGGCATCATCCTAGAACAAAAATATTCCCAATCATGATACAGAGGAGAATTCATCAGCTTCTTTTGCAGGCATGAGACACCTTTCGAAAAGAGAAATGTGACCCAAACTCTTGTGAGAAACAACTGGTATTTTGATTACTATTTCATATTTGAAGGACTCCTGAAAACAACCAAAACCATTGTTCTTCTTGTGTTCTCTTTTGGCGGGAGACTATGAATGTGACATGGGGCCTCTATAAGATATGTCTAGTGAAGACATGTCGAAAGATGGGTAAATAGGTGCCTGATGGAAAGGCACTTTTTCAATCTTCTTATGAAAGACTGTTGAAGCAGGAGCAAACATTTACTTTGTAGAGCTGTCAATTGTAGAAAAGGACAAGTCCTAGGGAAGACCAATTCTGGCCAAGTGCATGCTTTGGTGACTGTGTAATGAACATGAAGGTGAACACACAATGTCAACTTGGTTACATGTAGCCATAACAGGGTGTGAGTACCTTGGCCTTAGCTTGCCTCTTGATGACATCATGAAGGTGGGCTCTTGCCAAAGGATTTCAAGAAGAGCCAAAATATTGTGAAACATGCAGAAGTCACTCACTGCTGTTGTCTTCAAGAAGAATCTAAAGGAAAGCATGTAAATAATTAAATCAAGACACTGAAACTGTTGCAAAACAGTTAATCAGACTGGATTATCTTCTCTTTGATAATCCTCTGAGAGCTGACTAAAAACAAAGCAGTTCTTCAAATTAATCCTATATTTGGCCTCAGTCGAACCTCTTTCCCTTATGGTATACACTATGTGTTTGTTCTTGTTTTTATTTCTTTAACCTTTCATGCATAGATCTGTCACCTGTAGAATCTTGAGCGAGATCATGTGAAGTAGGCAGTAAGACCACTTTCTGTGACTTGTCTGGGTGGAGGACTCTGGCACCTGCAGAGGGGATTCCCTTCCCTGTTTTTCTACCTGCGCCTCTGCTTTCTTCTACCCTTCTTATCCCCTCTCTCTTTCTCCCCTTTACCTTTTTTTAAATGTTCATAAGCATGCTTTACCTTTTCCATCTTGCCTGGACCTTTCCTTAAGGCTCCCTGCATCTAGGTTGGTTGATCTGAATCAGTGTCATTTAGTGTGTAACAATGAAACAGCAAAAGAACTAACATAACTAACTCCATTTCTGTTTAAGAGGCCTTTACTCATGCTTGCACATAGGCTAGAATAATTCTGAAACACTGAAAAGATAATGAGAGGAACAAGAAGCTGTTGAGATTAACTCTGGGAAAAAGGGAAAATATGTATGTTTTGTTAGTGATTTAAAGGAACATTACACCCTAATCAAGGACAAAGAAGCTTCCCAATGACCTTGGACTCTCCCTGGTGTCCATATGTCTGTGATCCCATCCTTTACCTCCTGATCCCAACCCCATTCTCCTCCCCATTCCTTTAACATAAAAAATGCCTGAAATTTGTATCAATTTGTGATGGTCTTTGACACATTAGTCTGTCATCTCCTCATGTTACTGGCTCTTGAATAAACAAACCTGTTTCCTTTCACCAATCCTTGTGTCTCAAGTTTGACTTTTGAGCAATGAGCAGCCAATACTGAGTTCAGTTA